GCTGGCCAATCTGTCCCTGGAGGTCAGTGGAGTTGTCCCCAGTGACAGCGGACGGTACCAGTGCGTGGCCACCAATGCCAATGGGGCCACGAGGGCATCCACCTGGCTGCTGGTGCGAGGTAAGGTGCTCCTTGCTCTTGCACCCCACCCTGTACCTAGTGCACGCCCAAGACTCCACCCACCTATCCTGTGCCAGAACGCTGTCCTTGGCAAGTGGCAGCAGCCCTTTCAATGTATTCTGAGACTTCAGGCTAAGAGGACTCTAGCCTCCTAACCAAAGACCAGTGATTCCTGCTTTTGGGAAGTCCCTCCTTATATCTAACCTCGGTGTCTGTTGCTGCAGGCGAAGCTGTGCGGCCTGTGTCTAGTCTTGTTCCCAGGACACTGAGCCTTCTCCACCCCAGGATGTAGGGTGGGGGCTGAGTCCTGGAGCTTGGCAGTCACCCATGAGCAGCACGCACTGGGTGGGGGCACTGCTAGGCGGGCACAGAGGAGGCAGCGGAGCTAGCAGCTGTCTGCATGTCTGCCCAGGCCTAGGCCGATCCCCAGCCCTGGGGTGCTGACTCGCCAAGTGTAAAAGCGGGTCTCTTAGCAAGCATCTCCCCCGTGTTGGCGGCAGTGCTAGGGCAGCTGCTTGGGGCATACTGAGCAGAGTCAGAGGCTCAATCTGGCTCGACCTGCAGGAGATCTGTTAGTTATGTCTGCATGGCGAAGGCCGGGAAGGTGCACTTGCCTTTCTAGGCTTTGCAGGTAGCTCTCTGCCCCACTGAGCGTCCCCATGGGCTAAGATGGAGCCCCCATGAAGGGCAGGCCCTGGGGACCACCTTAAGGTCCCCAGAGACAATATCTGCCAGCCCTGCTGGCTGCTGTCTGTCCCCTCTGGTCTCTCCGAGCAGCTGCGGGGGGACGGACTTTGGGTGGCCAGTGCCTGGGCAGCTCCCAACAGTGCAGTGCCTTTTGGGCCCTGGCTCCCTCTGCCCCCATTGGTGGCAGAGAGGACAGGAGGACCCTGATGGCTTCCCGGCCCTCCCCACTGTCCCCTCCCTGGGCTACAGAGGCGCCACGGGTGAGCACTGACACCAGGGCCCAGCACTTCTCCCAGGGTGTGGAGGTGAAGATCAACTGCTCAGCCTCGGGGTACCCCACACCCCACCTGTCCTGGAGCCGGGAGGGCCTTGCCCTGCGAGAAGACAGCAGGTGAGGGCCAGGACACAGCTCTGTGGCAGGAGGATGAGGGCTCCAGGGCTGGCTTGGCCACTGACTGCACACGGGGCGGGGCACTGCTGTCTTCTTCTGGGCTCACCAGAGGCGCAGGAGCGACATCTCCCTGCAAGTGTAACAGTACCCCAGGGTGGCTGTGTTGGTCAGGAGCTCAGGCTCCAGCCTAGCACACCTGTGCTCACCTCCTGCTTGTACTCTGGAGGTCGTGTGACCAGGGGCAGGTTTCCCTACCTCTCTGAGCCTCGTAGATTAAGTGACTATGTAGGCATAGCAGCTCTTAGCCCACAGCCTAGGGCAAGCCATCCACGTAGAACGGCAACCACTAGTGAGGCTGATTCATCGTTTAATGAGGGCTGCGGAGCCAGCCCTGTGTGACCTGACATATTTTTATGGCACAACTCCAGAATCCGTGTGGATCCCCAGGGAACCCTAATCATCCGGGGAGTAGCCCCAGAGGATGCTGGGAATTACACTTGCTGGGCTGCTAATGAAGTGGGCACAGACGAGGAGACGGTCACCCTGTACTATACAGGTACTCAAGAGACCCTGCCTTCTAGCCCCTTTCCGTGAGACACGTATTTATTGAGCATCCAGGGACTTTTATTCTGATGGGGAGGCACAGACCACGGTTCTTTTGGAGAAGGCACTGTGACCAGCCCAGAGCCAATGACTGAGGGCGGGGGTGGGGGCCAGGGATGAGGCCTCCAGGTGCCTCTCTAAGAGGTGACGCTTGACAGAGAGCCCCAAAGGCAACAGCACACCAGGCCAAGGGACCAGCAGCACCAGAGCTCGGTGTGGCTGCTCAGGGGATTGGGATGGGTGAAGGACACGTGGGAGGCATCAGCAGCCTCCGTCTGGGGCACCAGTGGGATGGCTCGATTTCCCCCTCTTCCCCAGACCCCCCGTCGGTGTCTGCTGTGAATGCCGTGGTGCTTGCTGCTGTGGGGCAGGAGGCTGTGCTGGCGTGCATGGCTGCAGGCGTGCCCCCGCCCCGGGTCGTCTGGTACCGAGGTGAGTTGGGCAGTGGGGAGAGGGGCTGGGCATCAGTTCTGCGTTCCAGGCCGGGGGCCACACATGGAGGTCTGGGGACGGCTAGTGGGGTCTGGCTGGCCGCCGCGCCCACCCCCTGTGGTGCCCACACATCCAGCACTGAGGTGACCCTGGGCTTCGATTCTGGCTCCCTGGACGACCTCAGGCCAGTGGCTTGGTGTCTTCGGGTGAGGAGGGGAGGACATGAGTGGGCTTCGGCCCTGGGGAGGCCGCAGAGGTTCTCAGCACCCGGGGCCCAGCTGGGGCTCGTTGTGCTGCTGCTCTCAGGGTCAGCTGGGGTCCCCACCGGCCCCTTGCACAGGGACCTCCGCATGCAGGATCCCTGGGGCAGAGGCTCACCTTGACTGCGATGGGGGGCAGCCTCCACTCAGAGGTGGGGCGCTGTGTCCTAGGCAGGGGCAGGCAGAGGTGTCTAGGCCCCCGCTTGTCCATGTCCAGGTCAGAGCCTCAGGCCAGACCCGAGCCCTCCGTAATTAATTAGCTATTTTTTATGGCCCTGGGGATTGAACCCAGGGCTTTCACACGAAACAACATCCCCAGATCCTTTTGATATTTTGAAGTAAGTGTCTAAGTTGCTCAGGCCAGGCTCAAAGTTGGCATTGTCCTGCATTAGCTTCCCAGAGTGCTGGCATCGCAGGTGTGCACAAACCTGGCTCTTAGAGATCTTTTTTTTAAACAGGGTGTGTGTGTGGGGGGGTGTCTTACAATGGAATAGTCCTCAGCCTGGAGAAGGAATAATGTTCCCGCCTGTTATCCTCTTGGAGGCTGAGGCAGGGAGGTTCAATTTAGCCACTTAGGGATTCTGTCCCCAGCTTTGAAAGGCAGAGCTGGGCTGGGGCTGGAGCTCAGTGTGAAGGCTGGGGTTCGTCTCCTGTACCCCCAAAGGAATGTACTTGGCGTGCTGGGTGGCGTAAGCCAGGCCCCCACAGGCAACCTGGATGGTTCCATTTCGGAGAGGTCTGCAGCACGCAGCTCCAGAGCTGGACAGGGAGAGGCGGATGTTGGGGTGCGGTGGGGGAGGGATGGCGTGGCAAGGGTCCATGTGGACTGCTGGGCATCCCTGCACCCCATGCTATGTATGGCTGGGATGGTCAGTTTCAAGTTAGCTGGACTTCATTGGAATAAAAAGAAAGTATATTCCACTTAAGAGGGTGTCAGAATCAGGGGACTCAGAGGGGGTGAGGGAAAGTGATGTTGGGGTGGGCTGTGGTCACCTCAGGGAGTAGATCCAGCTGGACCCTGGGGCAGGGGGCTGGGGCCTGGTGGGGAGCCCAGCACTGGGTCCTCAGTGCTGAGCCTGTCGTGTGGGGGTGCTAAGCCCCAACCCCAGGGCCCACAGTGCTTCAGGGACGACCCCAAGGGTCCCAACTTGGGGACAAAGCTGCCTCTGCTCAGCCCCACCAGCCTGTGGGGATGTTGGAGCAGCCCAAGACCCTGGTCACCAGGCAACCATGGTCCTTACTAATACTGCCCCACTGTGCCCCAGGGGATCTGGAAATGATCCTGGCCCCCGAGGGCTCCAGCTCAGGGACGCTGCGGATCCCCTCAGCTCAGGAGAGGGATGCTGGTGTCTACACCTGCCGGGCTGTCAACGAGCTGGGCGCTGCCTCTGCGGAAGTGCAGCTGGAGGTTGGACGTGAGTGTCCTCTTGTGCCCTACTCCTGCCCTCGCCCTGCCTCGGAGCACTGAGGGGCCCTACCACGGTGGGCGGGTGTCATGTGGGCCCAGAGTACGTGGGGTGGGCAGTGTCGGAGGGGGAGCCTGGGTCGCTTCTTCTTGGGTAGCAGGCTGTCCCCAACTCAGTGGCTTACACAATAAGCATTTGTTGCCTCAGCATGCAGGGGTCAGGAGCTGGGTGGGTTCGGCTGGGATCACTGTGGCTTGGCACGTGATGGCAAGGCTGAGGCTGCCTGTCTTCTGGACCAGGCTCTCCACTCCAAAGTCACCCGTGTGACCTGTTCAGGAGGAGGCTTCTGTCCCTGGCCATGACTTCTTCTTTTTGTTACTTGCCACTATGTGCTCTGGTTCAGTCCTGGAGCCTCAGTTTCCCCCTCTATAAAGCAGTGCTGACTGCCCCTACCTCCTTGGGCTGCTAGGATGTCCCTGAGGCCAGTGACATTGTGTTCAGCTTAAGTTGGGCCAGAGTTCCTCCGCTCTTGGCCTCCCTCGGGCACTGGACTTGCTTGGCAGCCTGGGCATAGCTCCTCGGCACCCTGAGCTGGCCAGGATCAGCCATGGCAGGAGAGACCAGTGCAGGAAGCCTGAAGAAGCATAGAGAACCCAGAATGTGCTCATCTGGGCCGGACTGGGCAGGGTCAGGGGAGACGCAGCCACCTCAAAGTTGGGTTCCCCTGGACTTGGGGCGCCCTTCATCCTAACAGGCTTGCCCCATTGCCCACTCCTCCAATACAATGTCACAAGGCCCCCTGTTGCAGGTCCAGGGGTTCCTCAGTACCTGAGCACTGAAGGCCGGGAAGGCTTCCTGGAGGAGGAGGGCATTTATCTAAGTTGAAACCAAAAGTCAGGTGGAGGGTTGGGACAATGTTCCAGGCAAAGGGAACAGTTGTGCAATGCCTGGGTGACAGAAACGGGGCAGGAATGAGACCTGGCCAGGGCTGGGGGCAGGACTCCAGACAGTGGCCACCTGTCATGGCTCGGTCCTGGCGGGGGGAGCTGCCTGGGATTCTGGCTCTGTGGGGAGCGATGTGCTCGGCTTTCTCAGTGGGCGGTGCACAGGTCATGTTTTAGCGGCTGAGGAGGATGGTAATAAAAGCACTTGGTGACCCAGGGTGAGCTTGGGTGTCCCACCTCCCTATGCCCTGGGCTCATTGGCAGAAGTCCCTAAGTGTGTGCCATAGGGTGGGCTTGGCGAAGCCACTGTCACTGATATTGGGAGTGGGAGCCTACGCCGGCATCACTCACACCCCACCCTCTCTCCGCATCTTTTCCTGGGAGCTTCGTCCCTGGGGTGGGGTGATGCCCTGTTGGTGCCTGCCCCGTGGTCTGAGTGAGGAGGTGGTGGGCACCAGGCAGAGGTGGGGGCACAGCCCAGGGTGCCTGGCAGCTGTGGGCCTGGCGAGCCAGCCTGCGAGAGGGGAGGTGGGAAATCAAATTTCCTGCCTGTCTGGGTGGCAGCTGTGATCGGGGCTTCCTGGCCAAGCCTGCGGAGGTTGGGACCGGGCAGGCACAGGGCCCACTTCCTGCTGTTGGGTTGCGGCAGGTTTCCTGGTGGCATTTGGGGCCTGGGAAGAAAGACACTTCTGCTCCTTCCTTGAGGCTGCAGGGCCACCTGCAGGGTATTTGGTGCTTTCTTATTTTTCTGGTGAGCCCAGCAAAGGGATTGCAAGCTTCCCTGGGGCTTGCCTGGAGTGTGAGGTCCCTGCACCCCGGTGCCTCCCCCGGTCCTGCTTCCTGCGCCCACCAGGTGGACTCTGGATGCCTCCCTGGGCAGGAGAGCTGCTCTGTGGCAGGCACCGCTTTTTGGCTCAGCAGTGCCCTGGGCCAGGCCTCGTGTCACCGGCTTTCTCTCCTGGTCTCCCTTGGTGCCTGCTTCTAGTCTCCAGCTCAGAAGCTGCTAGCTGCTGGATGGACGAACAGGAGAATGAAGGGTTGGGAGCTTTGGTGACATTAAAGCTCCTCTGAGTTGCGCCCTGTGGTACACGCCAGTGATCTCAGCACGTGGGAGGCTGAGGCAGGAGGATCCTGAAAGTTGGTGGCCAGCCTGGCCTATATAGTGAGTTCAAGGCCAGCCTGAACTAATAGTAAGACTATGCCTGCACAAGAACA